TCATTTGACTATGTTTTACTTGATTGTTGTGCATTTGCAAATAAATTGGTGAGTTTTACCAAGGACGTATGTTACTTACACGTCCTTAGTTCTATTTGATTTATGTCTCTGTTCAGCAAAAATCTGATATCAGGTATTCCGATGATCGAATAAGGACGTAGAACTGACTTCTACACGTCCCGGGAGGTGTCGATACTGACCCCCTCCTGTTACAGTATACATAATAATCTTTATTGTCATATAACCTTTGATCAGTGTTTAGTATGACGATAAATTTTCACTTTTGTTCTCGTACTAGGAACAACAAAAATATTCATTTTGTAAAAAATATTTCCGTACTTCATGTATACCTTACAACAAAATTATTTGTATTTACCTGTGTACGTTATTTTATTTGGCGGCATTTTGTCCAAGGTTATGTTGTCTTTCTGATATTGTTAAATATCTTATAACCCCTTTGTTTTGTTAATTTTTTATTTACATTGTGTCATAGATCAAATGTATTCGTTCAGTGTATGTTCACTTGTTTTTGTTAATGTGTCTTTTGATTGAGTTAAGCCATTTCAATTGATATTTTATAGTGTGTCTTTCTATGTTGTGATGTTACACTGTTGTTTCAGGTAGGGTGAAGGTTGGCGCCTATTAAAACGTTTGAACCCGCTGCATTTGTTTGCACCTGTCCTAAGTCAGGAACCTGGTTGTCGTATGTTGATGTGGTTCATAAGCGTTTCTCGTTTCTCGTTTTTTATATAGATTAGACCATTGGTTTTCCTGTTTGAATGGTTTTACATTAGTCATTTTTGGGGCCCTTTATAGCTTGCTGTTCGGTGTGAGCCAAGGCTCCGTGTTAAAGACCGTACTGTGACCTATAATGGTTTACTTTTACAAATTGTGACTTGGATGGAGAGTTGTCTCAATTGCACTTATACCACATCTTCTTACATCTATATAAACTAAATGTTTGTGACTAAAAAAAGATTAGAGAAAGGAAACGGGGAATGTGTTAAAGAGACAACAACCCGACCAAAGAGCAGAAAACAGCCCATGGCCACCAATAGGTCTTCATCGCAGCGAGAAATTCCCACCATTCGGGTCAGGCGTTAGCTGGCCTTTAAACAATAATGTATACTAGTTCAACCAGAAACATATATAATTGTATTATATGTCTCTGGTTCAGCCAAATGGATACCACACTTAACTCCGAAACATACTAATGAACCAAAATTAAACGTAAATATTACTAGTGCAATACAATGTGACCATGAATGATAAAAATGCAGTCGAAAAACACATATATATATATATATATAGAAACATGAAAAATCAAGCTTCTTCTGTCCTCAGTTCTAATGACTGTACAGTAGGGTATGGATCGGGTACAGAATAGAGATCAATGGGCCAATACTACAGAAAAATGGCGGGTCAAAACATAAAAGATAGAGAAAATTAGGCCCCACTGTAGAATAAAGAATAGAGAATAATGGGGCGCTATTTAAAGCTATAAAGAATGGAGAACAATATGCAAAATTTACAAAGAATAGAGAATAATGGCGTAAAGAATTAAGGAATATAGAATCTGGGACTATTATACTAGTATAATAGTCCCATATAGAATTGAATGACCCAAAGACCCTCAATAAGGATTTGTATAGTGAGATGCATCACGGATCATCACGGTTAATCTCGCAAAATCTCAGCAAAACAGCAACTGGACTCAAAGAAATTTGTGAAAAATATAACATTGACATCCTATAACATTGACATGTATAAACGAATCATTTGAATCCGAAAAAAATCCACTCTCTTTTGGTGATTGGAAACCTATTACCTCACCTAGACCAAACAAAGAAAGGGGAGGATCTGCAATATTTTTAAAGCCAAACATTCATTTCATAGGACAAAGACAGGACCATTTTGAATTAAAAGAAATTGAAATGGTCAGTATTGAAGTTAAAGACAGCAAAAATAAAACATTTCATCTTCGGTACCTTACATCCCACCAGATAAACCAGAGTTAATGAAAAAGCTTTGTACACATATTCAACAAAAAAATTGAACAATTTAATATTGGTAGGTGATCTAAATGCTATATCCTTTGAATGGAACAATACTGTAGAAAATAAAAATGGAGAGCTTCTAGAACATTGTATGACAACAGCAAAGCTAATATGTGTTAATGATGGACAGGCTACAAGAAGAGCAAGCAATTCTGTAATTGACTTATTTCTAGTTTCCAGGCAACTATTTAATGATGTAAAAACTTGTATAACATTAACTCATGAAAAGGTACAATCAGACCATATTGCAGTATTGTTAGATGTTAATGCAGGAAATCCTCATGAAGAGAATACATCAGAACAAGAATATTGGAATATCAAAAAATGTGATTGGAACGCATGGAAAGAAACAACAAAAGAATCATTTTCAAAATTATCCTTTCCTCAAAATGAAGATATAGAAAATAACTACAGCCGATTTGAAGACACTTTAACAAATTGTATGACAAAATGCATTCCCTTAGTCAAACCAAAGAAAAAAAACAATAATACAATACCCTCCATGGTGGAATGATGATATTAGAGAAATAAAAGGAAAACTAAACAAAGCCCAAAAGAAATTTAAATTAAAAAGTACACCAGAAAATTTTGAATATGTGGCAAAGTTAAAAAAAATGAATCAAACAAAAATATGGTGTTTTTAAAAAAAACAGCCATAAATATGATAAAATACATACTTTTCTATATTAACATGAGAAGTCTTACACATGAATTACATACTAGTAGTCTACTCTCAAAATTTGCCCATTTCATTAAAGATCTAGACCAATTGTCGTCTTCTACTTCAAAATCCAAGATGGAGGAAGACACCCGAGCCACCTTAAGGGAAAAATGGTCAAAATTTAAAAAAATAACTAAAAAGAAATCTGAAAATTTAGTACATCCATTGCAAGAAAACAATGGAAATATTCTTTTCACTGAATCAGAAAAATCAAACATCCATAAAAACACCTTCTTTGAGGGTTATCATTTAAAGGCAAATGAGTTTTATCAACAATTCTATGATGACATCACACAGCAATACATCAACATTAGTACTTCTAATCAAGAAGAAAATACAGATAACATCAAGTACAATGATTATATTACCATGGAAGAGTTGGAAGGATCCATCTTTAAATTAAAAAAAAAGAAACAGCTCCAGGTCCAGACTTCTCCTTTACTTTCATCAATGGTGGAAGCCAATTAAAATCCAAACTTTTAGAAATCATTAACCAGTCATGGGAAGAAGGAATTATTCCTTTAAATTGGAGAAGAGCAAATATCAAATTTATAAAAAAATTATATAAACCAAATTACAATTTACCGTCATCTTACAGACCTATCAGCTTAACTAGTGTAGTGGCAAAATTAATGGAAAGAATTATAACGTATAGATTAGATGGATTTGTAGAAATGAACAACATCATGGACCAAGAGAAAGAAGGTTTCCGACATTTTAGAGGTACAACAAATGCCTTATTATCTTTAACACAAGCTATTTTTGATGGATTTAACAAAGACAAAATCACTATTGTAATTTTTATCGATTTTGAAAAAGCTTATGTTAGCGTCAAAATCCAGAACAACAGCCCAAATAGAGGAAGGAAAACAAATTATCTCTGAACAACTCAAATCTCAAACTCCAAACACAGCAGTCGCATTTACAGATGGGTCATGTTTGGGAAATCCAGGCCCATGCGGTGCTGGAGCTATAATTTACATCAATGATCAAGAAGAAAAATTAAAAAGACCTGTCTCTAACAAAGGATCAATCTTGCTAACTGAACTAATAGCAATAAAAATTGTACTTGATTACAAAGAATCTTTTTCAAAAACACAAATTGAAACTTTAACTATATTTTCGGACAGTCAAACCGCATTAGGAATCTTAATTCTAAATTGGAAAAGTCAAACCATTAACGAAATAAAAGGAAAAATAAAAAATTTAAATGAACATGGAATTTTAATCAACTTAAACTGGACACCAGGCCATGCCAACATAAAAGGAAATGATGAGGCAGACACCTTGGCAAAAGAAGCTGCTAAAGAAGCTGAAACACTAGCAGTTGATGACATAGTATTTACAAAACAAGATGTAAAAAGGGCAGCTAGAAATTCCGTTACAAAAAAATGGCAACGCAGATGGGAAAACAGCAATGCTGGACGTCATTATTTCAGATTTCATCCTGAAGTTAAAAATACAGTAAAAAAAAAGTTCCCGTAAAAAAAAATGTACAACATAATCAACAGTTTACGAACAGGTTATTCCAAATTAAATGCATACCAATTTATAATAAACCAACACATTAACTCTGAAACCTGTGTTCAATGCAAACAAAAAGAAAATGTACAACACTACCTTTTTGAATGTGATCTGTATTCAGATGCTAGATACAAATTATTTCATCAAATCTACTTCATAACAGGACATATCCCAACAGATTTAGACAATTTATTAACAATCAATTTGCCAAATGCAGAAAATATCACTCAACTATTAGCGGAGTACATAGAGGAAACAAACCGTTTTAGTGGATACAATTTTTTTTATAATTTTTCAAGTCATTTCAATTATATTAACCAATTTTTAAAAATTTTTTTTAGTACATTTTTTCTTTAACATGTTTAATATTTTTTTAAAAAGCGCCACCTACAATATATAAGTACAAAATTTAAAGGAGAAACTACATTAGTGATTATAATTTTACAAGAGAGGATAATTTACAAGAGAGATTACCCTGTCATCACGACAAAGATTGAAGATTGAAAATCTCAGCATACGCAGCTTTTTCAATACAGTCTATGCAAACTGCCCGCGAGATTCCAATCCTTCTCACTATACAAATCCTTGCCCTAAACAATCAAGATAATAAAAATTATTTCCGGAATTTATGCACTGCCGTACCCGAAAATGATTTGCAATTAAATTTGTTACGTGCTGGTTTCCGGATTATTGAGAAACTACAGGTGCTTCAAATATTATATACTTAGCGACCAGTTGTCTCGCGAGATGCCACATAATCGTCAAATTCTAGTCGTGGTAGATTGCTGATAAGATATTTATATATGTACCAACTATAATGTTGACCAGGTTTTGTTACAGGTAATAAATTTATGAACAAATATTTCATATTTTCATATATGTAATATGAAGCTTCTAATATTAATAGACACCGTTCTATAGTCAAATTTGATAGTCAGAGTAGCATTTATCGAAAATGCTCATTGGACACACATGTTCATAGCTGCGGAACTGTACATAGCACTTGAGGTCCATATGATATTTTTGACATTTGTAGATGGTCCGCAAATTGTCAAGGTAGCACTCCACAGTTAAGTGTGTAGTTTCGCATTTTGGCCTCTGGATTTTTCAAATATGAAATGTAGTGTGCAATAAAATTCATTTTTGCCTTTGGATAGCTGAAGATTAAATATAACCTTTATAGTGGGTTCGTAGGAGCATCAAGACTGTGTAATGTATGTATTATGGGCTGTATGATAGTCATGATAGTCTATTTTCATAATCGTACCAGACATTAGTCCAGAAATAAATTTTTATTGTAATGGTTTTTTCCAACTTTTTGTCGCACAAACTTTGTGATTAAATTTTACTGAAAAATGAGGCGAAAGACACCCAATTTTCATTTGCTCATCTGGTAGATTAATGTCAAACATTGTCAAAAGTTTCAGAAAAAGTATTACTAAACATTGCTGAAAGGGATTGAAATTCTAGCTCGACCAAATTTTGGTGGAATATGTGACATTTTCATCCCCTTTTTGTAATATTTTATGGTAAGTAAATGCAGAATTTTGCCATGGATACACAAAAAATGAATTATATTTCACCATTTTAGCTTGAAAATCAAATCTATGGAAGATACTGATTACATACATATGCACATGTATTATAAAAAAATTGTTGGCTTAATGTACATAAAAATGTATTAGCAGGGGTTTATCTGGGTATTTTGGGCATGTTGGGAAAAAGGACCCTGGCCAGTTTTGGGAATTTTTTTACGTGATTTACAACATGTACAATGAAATTGGGAAAACTACAAATAAATGTATCATGAATATACCAGACGTGAGTTTAAGTGTGTTAAGTTCATTAAAAATTATCTTTTTTTGTGAAAATAAAGTGAGAAACTACATGATTGCTATTTATAATTTTATTTTCTGTTCTTTCTTTCTTTTTAAACTTAACAATAAGGCACTCAAGTTTAAAGTATCGTATTTTTTAAAGCACACATGTGATAAAAATTTACCACCTTGTTTATCTTTAAAGACAGTAACAGTTAATATGGTTAATATAATTTAAATAATTCAGGGATAGAAATAAGATGTATTTTAACTGGCCAAGCAGGCTAACACTTTTTTTAATTCACTTGGCTCTTCCAGCTTTGACTGGCCCTTCAAAATTGAGAAGAAAACATTCCCTTTTAGATCTATAGTTATTTGTTTACATTATAAAAACAACTTATATCAACATTTTTTACTGATAAAGAAAAGCATGAAAAGTAATGTCACATTTTATTGGAATTTGACATGAAAATTTGTGAAAAAAAAATAGTTTTGAGTTTCTGTATAAAACATTTCCTGTTTCTTCTTTCTTTTTCATATATCTATTGGTTTTCAATTCTAGTGTTAATATTTCATAGCCGTACTTTGTCATCTGCCTGGATTTTTAAAAATTTATTTATTGTATTTGATTGGCAAACCCGGAATTAGCCTATCCGCTCCCGGAATCTGATCCTATATTGTAATTGTCTACATTTCGGGTTAGCTGGTCCTGGACTGACTACTACACTTTGTTCATAGACAGCCGGTTCGGCCCAATGTGGGAGGCAGAATTTTGCCCTCAGGATTTTAACGAAATTTGACGTTTCGTTGTTACATGGCAACGTATCTGTGTAAATGGCGTCATTGACAATTCGGCTCTCATTGTGACATAATAACATAAGCATTTTGACATTTAAAAAATTCGGGAAATGCACGAATGTGAAAGTTATGTATTTCTCCATGTTAAGTACGCGTAATTTGATTGGACGAATATGTATCTGTATGTACATTCTTCACCTCTAATATAGGAGATTGAAAAGTCTCTTGACTAATCAGATTCTACAATAGATCAGCTCTGACCTGCTGTCTATGAACTAAGTGTAGTAGTCAGTCGAGGACCAGATTACATTTCCGGTTTATGGCAGCCATTATTTGTCGATGTTGTTTTTGTCAGTCAGATATGTTTTTACTCGGATCAACACATTTCTTGTTCATGTTGTTGGCCATTTCAAGCATTAAGCTAGCGGTTGAACAGAATGGACATCACTGTCATGAATAATAAAGATGAAAATAAATTTTGAGATAGTGTGGGAATTTTGCTCCTAAAATTGGGAAAAATGTAGAGTTTTTGCCATTGGGGATGGGTCCGATTCCGGACCCTGTGGAATGCTAGAAAAATCCATGATTAGAAAGCCAGGAATAGAAGGTGATTTAACATTTTGTGGTTCAATTTTAATTTTATTTTCTAACCATGCTAACTGTGGAGTGCTACCCAAACTATATCATACAATCATAACAGCTACGGTTCGGAGGCTAACATGACCAGAAATAGAATCTGACATGACATTCTTATGTTAGCTTATACATTTTGTACATGTAAGCCTCAAATCTATGCTTGGCATCAAGTTCATGTCCATTTTTATATTTGCTCATAGACATCCCAAATCGATTTCTGTTTTTTCCTCAAATCTCTGTCCATTTCAACTATAAAATAAAATTGAGAAAGGAAATGGGGAATATGTCAAAGAGACAACAACCCGACCAAAGAGCAGACAACAGCCGAAGGCCACCAATGGGTCTTCAATGCAGCGAGAAAATCCAGCACCAAGAGGTGGTCCTCAGCTGGCCCCTAAATAAAATTGTGTGCTAGTTCTGTTCAGGGAAAATGGACGTCATACTAAACTCCAAAACATATAAATGAACTAAAATTAAAAAACATACAAGACTAACAGAGGCCAGAGGCTCCTGACTTGGGACGGGCAAAATTGCGGCGGGGTTAAACATGTTAAACATGTTTTGTGAGATCTCAACCCTCCCCCTATACCTCTAGTCAATGTAGACGAAAGAAACACATAGCGATACAAAAAGTAAAACTCAGTTTAAAAGAAGTCCAAGTCCAATGTCAGAATAGGTAACAAAAGAAACTAAGCAAAATGACAATGATACATAAATGAACAAAGGACTACTAGCAGTTACTGACATGCCAGCTCCAAACCTAAATTTAACTGATTGAAAGATTATGTCTTCTTCATATGAAAATCATGTACAATCCCTCCTGTTAGGGGTTTAGTATCATACCATCATAAAAATATACGAGAAGAACATAACCCGTATCATGCCAACAACTGGTTTTAGAATAAATGTGTTTATTTCCGATGCAAAGACCCTATGAGTGAATCAATATTAATACCAAAATATGCAATCCTTAATGACTTGACAACAGTATCGTAACTATATCCTTTCTGAATAAGTCTGTTTAAAGGTTTGGTTAGCTTTTGAGGTGAATGCTGACATTTTTGTGCTCTGTAAAGAATATTACCATGAATCATGATTACCATAAAATATTGGATGTGAAATACCTGAACTTATAAGATGTCTGCATGTTGATTTATATTTACGAATGATGTCCTTGATAAAATTTAGAAAATGTTTTGACTTAAGTTTGTGATATCGAAAACCCTGGTGTAATAATTTTTCAGTAATACAGAGATTTCTTTTGTTGAAATCAAATACTTTGTTACATACACGAGGGAATGGAACAAGTTGAGATTTATAAACACCATAAGATGGCGACAAGGGAACGTCACCATCTAAAAATAAATAATTAACAATAGGAAATGAAAAATCATCTCTTTTATCATAAATTTTGGTATTAAGTTTCCCGTTAACATGGTTAAAGATAAAGATATCAAGATCCAGGAAAGGGCAGTGTTCATTGTAAGTATTAGCTTTATTTAAAGTCAGTATGGCAGGATAAATCTCTTTAGTGTACATACGTATACTGAAGTCATCATTATTGAGAGCCAATATATCATCTAAATATCTAAAAGTGTTGTTTCGATGGGTCTTTGCTGATTTTAGTCATTGTATTGTTGTAAGAATCAACAAGACGTAAAGTGTTTGAGGTCATTGCTGGTCAGGAATGAAACTGAGCAAAGGGATACATTTTATCAAACGCAGCAGTGATGCAGCTAATCGTCGGACCTATCGGACGTATGGGGCAGAATTTTAGAAGGTCTGGCAAATGAAGTCTTTGTGTCAGACCCAATGACCGGCAAATATTTTTACTGTTTGAAAATGTCAAAATTGAAATTTCTTTTGGTCCTGGTTACCTTGGCTTCCAAAGCAATAATGTAGTTGAAAAGCATTAAAAACCAAAAGTTCTAATGACACATTTATTGCCGATAATAAGTAAACGTGCTGATGTTAATGGATTTCGATCTTCTCTGTGTTTATCCAATTAGCTTAAGTCATGTGATCATAATTATTTTCGTACTTCTCAGGACTTATCTTAACACATAGCAATGAATGAAAACAAAGTAAATTTCCAGTAAAAATATTGAATAGAAGCATGTTTTCAGCTTCTTTTTGGTAGCTGAGGGATAAATCTGATGATTACAACACTCAGCAAGTGTTATCAGAACGTGTCCCTCGGACACACGGTTCATGCAATGGCGCATCCAGACAGAAAACCATGCGTCCAGGGCGCGAATAAGCGACCTTATATATGGAGAACATTGTTATTCATATGACAACTAATGACAAAACCTTGTCAAAACCAATTAAGTTCTTGCAATCTAATTAAGATATAGTTCTCTGATTTTGTTATACTCATACGAGCAGGCGAGTTAATATGGATCAGAAGTTTAATCAGATTGAAGTTCTTGGCTCAATAATTTTATTTTTTAAAGAGACGCCTCTTCTCTGTTGGTCCACTTCCGACCAATGACCTACATGTAATTAAACTCTGATGCTTATCCAACTCGATCTGCCATTTAATTTTCATTTGTGAGAAATCAGAGCTCGAAATTAAATATGACTATGATGATGCATGGTGTATCGTTGCTATTCACCTGATCGACGATCCAAGATCAATGGGGAAAAAAAATCGCAGAATATTAATGAAACCAGGTTCGCATACTTATTTTTTGTTGTTTGAAAATCGATCTATTTCTTTAAATCATTGATGTTGTTTTTCTTAAACATTTTGCTTTTTTCTTGTCATTTGATGTTTTTTCTTCTTTGGTCCATAAATTTTGAGGACTTTTCTATATGATTATATAAATTAACATTGTCAAGCAACATCTTTTTTACTTGTCCACGGGCAACAAAGACACAAAAAATTGCTTGTCTGGTCGGTCAAATGTAGGAGTCGGGTGAGTCGGGCATAGCATTTCCACACCTCTGAAACAAGAGGAAAAATGTCCTGGCAGTCTTTGCTAATAGGTATCTGACAATGGAAGATACTCATTAATAAACCTTGTAGCATTAGGATTGGTGATTTAATTGAATTGTGGGTAATTGACTTATTAGAGTACATAGATATGAGGCCAAACTTTTTATTCTTCAACTGTTTCGGTACTTATACATCCCTCGGATTTCAAATGTTTGGCTTTGAGCATTCCTGATGAAGGTAAATCCAGAAAAGCGCTTCGCACGTATGAAATTATTAAAACGTTTTCAATTTTTTAACATGGACATAAATTTGTGGATGATGTACAGACTTATGACTAAGATTTGAGTCCATACTTTTTAAACAGACATAGATTTGTAAATGACATAATGATTGGACATAGATTTAAGGCTTACATGTCTACATGAATAGACTAGGTAAATCAATTCAAAGTTTTATCATAAGCAATGATAAGCATGATAAGTAGATGTCCGAATTCACAAATATCATGAATATTTTTGAACAATATTTTTTATCCATAAAAGACATTGATAGATGACAATCCTATCTGGCTTCTGTCATGTCTGTTGCTGTGCTGTTTCTTTATTTTTTGCACATGTGTACAGTCATGTCCAGTACTTTTGTTCATCTAGCCCAAATATCAAAGGAACAGACTTGTAATGACGACTTCAGTATGTACACAGTCACTAAAGAGATTTATCCTGCAGAACTGACCTTAAATAATACTAATAATACTAACAATAAACACTGCCCTTTCCTGGATCTTGATATCTATGTAACAACATATTTGATTTTAACGAAAGAAATCTCTGTATTACTGAAAAATTATTACACCAGGGTTTTCGATATCACAAACTAGTCAAAACATTTACTAAATTTTATCATCGGTACAAGGACATCATTCGTAAATATAAACATGATAAATTAACATGCAGACATCTTATACGTTCAGGTATTTCACATCCAAACAAAAATGTCAGCATTCACCTCAAAAGCTAACCAAACCTTTAAACAGACTTATTCGGAAGGGATATAGTTACGATACTGTTGGCAAGTCATTAAGGATTGCAAATTTTGGTATTGATATTTATTCACTCATACATGTAGGGTCTTTGCATCAGAAATAAACACATTTATTCTAAAACCAGTTGTTGGCATGATGTTCTTCTCATATATTTTATGATGGTATGATACTAAACCCCTAATCATGCTAATGGGAGGGATTGTACTTGATATTCATATGATGAAGACATAATCTTTCAATCAGTTTAATTGAGGTCTGGAGCTGGCATGTCAGTAACTGCTAGTAGTCCTTTGTTAATTTATGTATCATTGTCATTTTGCTTAGTTTCTTTTGTTACCTATTCTGACATCGGACTTGGACTTCTTTAAACTGAGTTTTACTTTTCGTATGATCCGTATCGCTGTGTGTTTCTTTATTCTACATTGGCTAAAGGTATAGGGGGAGGGTTGAGATCTCACAAAACATGTTTAACCCTGCCATGTTTTTGCCTCTGGCCTCTTAGTTCATTTATATGTTTTTGAGTTTAGTATGATGTCCATTTTCACTGAACTAGTACACATTTTTATTTAGGGGCCATCTGAGGACCACCTCCAGGTGCGGGATTTTCTCGCTGCGTTGAAGACCCATTGGTGGCCTTCAGCTGTTACCTGCTCTTTTGCCCGGTTGTTGTCTCTTTGACATATTCCCCATTTCCATTCTCAATTTTATTGTAGAATGTACATTCTAATATGCAGTTCTTCAAAGGCTTTGAGTAATCATGGTAATTACCCATATGTATTTTAATTTTCAATTACAAGGTGGCCTTCAGCTGTTACCTGCTCTTTTGCCCGGTTGTTGTCTCTTTGACATATTCCCCATTTCCATTCTCAATTTTATTGTAGAATGTACATTCTAATATGCAGTTCTTCAAAGGCTTTGAGTAATCATGGTAATTACCCATATGTATTTTAATTTTCAATTACAATTTCATATGTTACTTAAAACATTTTATGACAACTTTTTCCAAGACTTCTTTAACGTTGAGCTGTAGTCTACATGTGCTTCTTAAACAGTTAAAAGCTATTATTCATTTATAGGTTACCATGACAACATGAGGAGAAAACATTTAGTGTCCCTGGTAGTCCTGATCTTCCTCACATGGAATATTCTGATGTATTACTTCCTGGTTTCAAAGAATCCAACTAAGGTAATGCTATTTTTAGTTTGTAGTTTGCAGTCAGTACACTTATCTTGAAATTGAAAGTTCATTGTAGACATTTTTTTTTAAATGTTTTTAACTTGAACAAAACAGTCAAGGGAATAACTTAAACAAGTAATTGAAGAAAATAATAGGCATACTGTTATTGTGGGAATTCTGACAGAGTTATCTCCTCCTGTCATGAATTGTGTTGAAATACCACACGTTATTGTCAGGGGTTCAAATTAACATTTGGTACTGGAAGGTCCAGGACCTTTGACACTCCAAACTGAAAGGTCCACAACATAAATCCCAAGTCCTACTTTATTTGAAATATTTCATAACTCAGTAAGATTAATGTGTATTTGGTCTTAGGTTACCTTGTTTAATTATATTTGAACTGCATGCAATATGTTGTTAAGTTTACAAATATATTGCCAGGCAACCATATAAATGTAGCACTAAACTGTCAGTGCCACTGTGGTATAACATGTATAATAATAAATGATGTAATTGTCTTACAAGTATATCATGTATATTATGAATTCAAATAATCTTTTTTTCTTTAGTATTTGGGAGGGTGTCACTGTGGGTGGGTGTGTCTCAATTATTGGTAATTATACCATTATCTCAGGGCTTAGACTACTTCAGAACCACAGGGGGAAGTGACTTCTCTTTTTTAAACTGATAGGGAGAAGTGGTGAGATTTGAAAGAGAAGTGCTCACTCAAGGCGCTACAATGTTTGATTTTTACTATAATATATAAAGGGCTATATGTATCTTTTTGTATATTGTTCAATTCATAACCGAGTATTCAATTAAAGTAACAGTTCAAATTCATAGCTGTTTAAGCTCATCATATGTTGCACAATTATATTAGTTCCTCTCTTGTTAGAAACTACCAACTAAATATCTAGCACTAATAAAGAAAGAACTTTTTTTACATCAAAAAAGAAAAGAAAGTGTGGAATGCTTAATTTTTCCCTTTGGGATCAATATTCTGCTGTCAGATGTGCCATTCATTGGTCCGTAGTCATTATCCTTAGAATCCGGATTTCATTCATAGCTGGTCCGTTTCCCGACTCCAATCAGTAGTTTGTACAAATATTTCAATGGCTGACGAAAAAATTTACAAAAATAAACGATGTTTGAAACGCTATTTGGAAGGGAATATGACGTTTTTAATGCAACGAATGGATTACAAATTTACTTAAGGCAACTTTCATCACTTCTAATGGGTTAACAAACTTATTTTGCCGACAGTTAAAATGGGTTTAAAGTACGCTCTCAAGGGGTATACCATGTCAATAGTAATATGGCTTTGAAATGACGATACTAATGTTTCAAAAGGTTGGCAAAGTTAATTTTTATTTTCTTTCAAATCGAAGGTCAGTCGGGCGTAGCAAGTAACCAAAATGAAAGTCCGATTGCAATAGTGGAAGGTCACGGACCTCGGACCACCGCTAATTTGAACCCCTGATTGTACAAAGAAACAATGTCTGTAATAATGCCTTTCACAGACATTTTCATCGGGAGAAACACAAATTAGGTCAGATATCAAACTCTTATTGGCTAATATTTTCAATATGTCTAGATTGAGGAAAGTAAATTACTAAAACAAAAATTATTCGATATTGTCAGGGCTGTTTGAATTAATGATCTATTGATCACTTGCCGTGATTTAGCTTTTTAGTGCTGATGTGGTGTAAAGCAATCACCAATCAATCTATTCATGCTATTGGTCAAAAGAGAAACAATAAAGACTAGATTTGGTATTTTCAGTTTTTAATAAATTATTATTTTTACTGACCAATCAGACAAGGTCACTGGAGCTTTTACTTGCCCAATGATGACTTTCACTTGTCCCTTGCAATCAGACAGCCATTAATATTGAACTCTGGCAAGACAAGATTTACTAAGAAGTCTAATGGCCAAAATCAACAGTTCACTCCTTATTAGAGTTATACCCCTACAATGTATAGTGAAGATTTTTACTCTTTTTAAGTTAGTTTGGCTATTATCTGGAAATCTATAAATAAGATTTCATGGCCCAAATCTTTGGTCAACTCCTTATTGGAGTGCTTGCTCTATAATAACAATTTTTTTACCAATTTTTTGCATTTTTGTCTATTATCTGGAAAACTATAAGGATAGATAAACACTTTAAATAGCAAAATTATCAGCAAGACAAGATCTACAAATAAAAATTTAATTTTGCAGAATCGTTAGTCATGTTAGTAGAGTCTTGATAGGATTTATTGCTGTTAAATGACAATTTTTTACCCTTTTTTATGTTTTGGGCAAAAACTAAAAATGATAGTCATGATAGTGAGAAATTGTAAACAGAAAAAAATATCATCTATACACGATCAACAAAGAGATAGTCTACAATGTATAGTGCTGAAAGTGGCATTAAATACCAATTGAGCAATCAATCAGTCCACAATCACCAGCATTTATTGTGAAGAATCAGCACCAAGAGCAGTTTTACTGCAATTATATATAACAGCTTTTTACATTGATTACAGTCATGACAGATGAACAACAAACCAGCTTACTGTAAACCAAATTATTTTGGCATATACTCAATTTTTAGTTTAGCCCTCTCTGGCCAACTTGGATGCTCTTGCACACCATTGAAATCTATATTTTTACAATCACACATCTTTGGATCAAATACAGATAGTTTGAGAGCCAGTCTTTTGAAATACAGTCTGATGTGGGGTCAACAAAAGAAGTTATAGAAAACAAGCATTTCAGTAACTGACATGATCAAAGGAAAAAAAATATGTGTTATAACCTTTTTATTATGCCCCGCCGTAGCAGAGGGGGCATTAAGTTTTACCCTTTTCCGTCTGTACGTACGTACGTCCCAAAATTGGTTTTCTGTTCTCTAACTTTAGTTTGCCTCAACCAAATGTTATGAAACTTATACACAATGCTTATTACCACAAAACACAGATCAAGTTTGAATTTTGGTAGCATCACTTTTACTGTTCTAGAGTTATGTCCCTTTACAAATGGAAAATTGCTGAATTTATCGTTTCCATTCTCTAACTTTAGTTTGCCTCAACCAAATGTTATGAAACTTATACACAATGCTTATTATCACAAAACACAGATCATGTTTGAATTTTGGTGGCGTCACTTTTACCGTTCTAGAGTTATGCCCCTTTACAAATGGAAAAATTGCCGAATTTTTCGTTTCCGTTCTCTAATTTTAGTTTGCCTCAACCAAATGTTATGAAACTTATCATGCTTATACACAATGCTTATTACCACAAAACACAGATCAAGTTGAATTTTGGTGGCGTCACTTTAACTGTTCTAGAGTTATGCCTCTTTATAAATGGAAAAATTGCAAAATTTTTTTTTCTTCTAAATATCAAGTAATTTTTATTAAAATTGGAGTTATCTTCCTTTGTCCATGATTATAATTGAATCAACTACATTCAATGCTTTATACAATGCAATGTTTAATTTTGACTTCCACTGATAAAACACAGATCAAGTTGAATTTGGGTAGTGTCACTTTAACCATTATTGAGTTATGCGCCTTTATAACTCGAAAGATTGCAAAATTTTTAGTTTCCATTCTGTAACTTAAGTTTGTCCCAACCAAACATTATGAAACCTATACACAATATTCATTACCACAAAACTAAGATAAAGTACAAATTTTTTGTTTCCGTTTTCTAAATTTAGTGCCTCAACCAAATGATATGAAACTTATACACAATGCTTATTACTACATAATACAGATTAAGTATGAAATTTGGTGGCAACACTTTTACCATTCTTGAGTTGTGTCCCTTTATAAACATAAAAATTGCTGAATTTTTCATTTCCGTTCTCTAACTTTAGTTTGTCTAAACCAAATGTTATAAAACTTATACTCAACCGTTCTAGAGTTATGCGTGTTTACAAATAGAAAAATTGCTGAATTTTAAGTTTCTGTTCTCTACTTAAGTTAGCCTCAACCAAATGTTATGAGACTTAAACACAATGCTTATTACCACAAAAGTCAGATCAAGTTCAGTTCAAATTTGGGTAGCGTCACTTTTACCGTTCTTCAGTTATGTCCCTTTATAACTATATGATATGCAAGCGGGGGCATCATCTGTGTCCACATGTGGACACTATCCACATTTATTGTTTTATTTAAGAAAGGAAAATTATTTATTGTATATCATTTTACATGATACTTATAAAACTTGCAAAATTTTGTTCTGTGATCCTGCATTTTAGAACATATGTACTTGAACTTCCCTTTAAGTTTTTTAAAAGGTACATTTTTCTAAAGATTTACATGTCAAATGCAAGTAATAAATATTTACTATTACTGGTTGCCCCAAAACAAGCAGACAAAATGTAAATTTGTTTCATAACTATTAGCAATAACGTACATTACACTTGTAATAACTTGTTTAGGGTTATGCACTGGTTGATATGTTTGTGGTCATTGTGGTGTACTGTTTGAAAGGCCAAAATATATATATTGGTTTCCTGCTAAGCAACAAAAATTATATTTGTTCACCAACCCTATAAGTCATGGAAGTAGGCCTTTTATATAAAAAATGATAAAGAAATTAAATTTTGAATACACTGAGTAATCTTTGAATCCTATTTCTGCTGGATATTTTAGTCATATATGTAATGAAATATAGAAAAAATGGGTGAAAAATTGTCAGAGCATTTGAAATTACAAACATGATGCATATGCCAGTATGCAAGAGGGTCATATTGGGCTTTATCGAATAGAGAATTATGGGCAACAAATACAGATTAAAGGGTCAAGAGAATAAAGAATAGAAATAAATGGATAAAAAATTAAAATTATATAGAAATCGAATAATAAGTACAAAAAGAATTAAGACCAGAGAAAAAAAGGCCATCAAATTTTAAGAATACAGAAATGAAGGTCCCTCATGCAAATTATTGGATGTTTGTGTAAAATAAAGACTGAAGGTCCCTCATGCAAATTACTGGATTTTTGTGTTAGATAAAGA